ACAAAAGAAAAAATTACGCACAGGACGAAATTTGCGTTTTTTTTTTTTAAAGAATCTTATTTAGCGCGCTTGTCGGTAATTTTAGTTCGTATACTCAGTGTCATCATATTTAAGTAATCTCCCCCCTTGAAAAACAGGAAAAGCAGATTTTTTGGGTGTTTTGTTGCGGGCGGTGGGGCTGAACATTTGATCGATTGTGTGTCATCGACAATGAGTCTATGGGCCTAGCTTCAGTTCGATAGCTTGACGGGAAGTATGTCAATTAGCCGTCCGAAGATTTTGCCAGCCACGAACGAATGTTAATATAAAGGATTTGATGAAAGCTCCCAACAGTGAAGTCCTGTCCACCTAGACCAGGGTGGGCATCCTACGACCCGCCGAAACGTTTATTGTGACCTGCTGCACCTTCTGGGAACTGGTTCAATGTTTCCCCATCTGCACTCTTTACAAGTTAGTTCTCATTGTAAGTTGGGATAGGTCTAAATGTATTTTAACTCTTCATCCCAATAACCTTAAAGTTAAAGCTCGTTTTCCGGTTCTCAAAAACCTATCTATTCTTATGGCAGACCACGTCACCAATGAGATTATTTTTTTTTTAAATAATAAAGCCTCACTTTTTCGCTTTCCGAAGGGGCAAGAGCCTTATGGACATGCATATTAGAAGTCCGCCTCCCTGCTATTAAAGCACATATAAAAACTAAAAGTTGCAACCGTTGCTGTTGTAGCACATGACCCTACTTGATTGAAGTTGACATGATCGCTCTCCCTCTGAAAAAATTCAGAATCAAAGATTGCTCCACCTGCACAAGTCGCAACGTGATTTACACCATCCTTTGTGAAAAATAAATGCGGTAAATTGTATGTTGGATAGACAGGTCGTCGCACTGGAGACCGTTTTAGAGAACAACTCTATACCAAAAATACACAAACCCATTGTCAGGTTTCCAAATATGTCAATGGTTCTAAACATAATGGAATTGGAGACATTTCAGTTTCTGGTAAAACTTTATGCTCGTAATACACCGGTTAGGATTTGTGTGGTTATTACATTAATAACAATATTTGTTACGTTGACTGCATACGGTATTTAAAAAAATCCACAATTTAAGTAGCTGTCTTTTTCCTGTTTGGTTTTTAAAAAAATTACTTCTGCTTACTTTCTTTTCTTTCTTCTATATTTTGTTTTCGTCCGGGTTTGCACCCAATCTTATACCATTATTTTTTAGGTGGGATACGTGTAAATATTAAAAATAAATGTACATTTAATTTAATTTTTTTTTTCTTACCGATGAAACGTTTACATTTGTATTTAGTAAAATCATCATTTAAGCTGAACAAATATTGCATTAATTATTAAAATTGTTTTTGTCTAATAAATCTCATCGCATTTACAATTATTATAAATTTATTGTCTTATTTTTTTTTTTAAAATAATATCGAGCTATGATTGTTAATTACCGGTATTATCATTTTTTCCAAATATCCCATCTATTAACTTGATATCAAGTCCTTTAGAGCAGCGGTTCTCAACCTGTGTGGGTCGAGAGCCCCTTTGGGGGTCAATTGACCCTTTTCCAGTATTCGCCTAAGACCATTGGTCACACATATACTCAACAGTCATAGGGTAGCAACGAAATTAATTTTGTCGTGGGGGGGGGGGTCGCCACGACACCAAGAACTGTATTAAAGGGTCACGGAATCATGCAGGTTGAGCACCACTGCCTTAGAGAGTTATCATGGCTCCTGTCACACAAAAATCAACACACTATTAGCCATCCTAGACGCAACCAGCTGCTGAATTGTTCAGTTTGGAAGCGAACAAAAATAGTCTATGCAACTTTTATACATTTCATAAAAATATGGACGTTCGCTTTGGTAAATATAATATTCAAAACTACAGTCGTAGTTATTTAAAAACGTTAGAAATAATCTTGAAACTCTCGAATCCTTCAGATGTTAATGAGCGTTCATCTTTCCATCTTCGGTTGCCAGTATAACCCCCCCACCCCCAACCCACATTTAGACTCCTAGAGTTCCTCTGTTTATCTCAAACATCAAATATCATCTGCAATATTAACTCAATTTTTTTTTCTCTCTCTTCAGTTCATTTCCATTTCATCTTGAAATGACGTTGTAAAAATTTAAAAATCGGTATGAAACATTTTGTAACACCCCCAACCGCATGCAATGAAGTGAACAGAAACCCTGTTGCTGGGTCTCGCCTTCAAAGCATCGCTGGCAAGATTGGTGAAGTAGCAACTAGCGAGAGTTCGGGGAAAGTCGTAGGGACGTAATAGTTGTGTTTGTGTGTGTGGGGGTGTGGGGGGGAAGGGAGGAGGCTGTAGGTTTATTCAGTGTTTTGTTCCGTTTTCTATAAAGATCTATAGCGTACTGTCCACTTAATCATCTTATCGCCATTCCTGCCCAACAGCCTGATTTAAATTGAATTCCATCACGGTTTAGCACACACACAAATCTTTAAACAGGGACGCAACTCCACATTCGGTAAATGCAATACTATTTAACGGTTATCTCTCTTCCAAATTGATATTTGTCTAAAGAAATACCGAAACATTAAACCAGGTCGATACCAATATTCGTTTTTTTTTTTTTAATTAGTAAGATAAATTCTAAATGTTTGAGAATCATTTTTGTTAATATAAACGCTGTTTGGGTCCGAGAGTTGTGTCATGAGTGTAGTTATTGTGTCTGAATGATCAGTAGATGAAAGAAATAGAATAATAAACAAGTGTGTGTATACAAGGTGTGAGATAGACAGAGTGGAAGAGAGAGAAAGAGAGAGAGATTCAGAGAGAGAGAAAGAGGGTTGCTTTGCTTTAATGACAGACATAAGACGTTCCTGCGTGATGGCTCCTGTGTTTTTGAATAGACTGTGTAGTAATTAGGGGATACTGTTAGCAGGCGAATCTGCTTGACAGATGCACGTAATGAAGTAGAACCCAAGTCGTTCATAAAGTGTATGTGTTCCAATATATCAAATGTGTGCCTGGGCACTCGTTGATAGACAGTACTGTAGAGTACCTGTGTATTCGTTGATAGAAAGTGTTGTAGAGTACCTGGGTATTGGTTGATAGACAGTGTTGTAGAGTACTTGGGTATTCGTTGTTAGACAGTGTTGTAGAGTACCTGGGTATTGGTTGATAGACAGTGTTGTAGAGTACCTGGGTATTCGTTGATAGACAGTATTGCAGAGTACCAGGGTATTCGTTGATAGACAGTATTGCAGAGTACCAGGGTATTTGTTGATAGACAGTATTGCAGAGTACCAGGGTATTTGTTGATAGACAGTATTGCAGAGTACCAGGGTATTTGTTGATAGACAGTATTGCAGAGTACCAGGGTATTTGTTGATAGACAGTATTGCAGAGTACCAGGGTATTTGTTGATAGACAGTATTGCAGAGTACCAGGGTATTTGTTGATAGACAGTATTGCAGAGTACCAGGGTATTTGTTGATAGACAGTATTGCAGAGTACCAGGGTATTTGTTGATAGACAGTGTTGTAAAGCACCCGCGACTAAACTTGGCAGAAAATACTCGCAGATGCTGGAATAGAGTAATATATTATTTTAACAGTAAACCACCCTGACTTAGAAGATTCAAATACTGTTCACTTCCTTAAATACATGCAACCAACTAAGATTTTTCTCTTCCTTATATCAAACAGCGCTGTAATTCCATTGGCATTTTGCTCCTTCCCTTTGAAAGTAAAAAAAATACTTATAATTAAAAAGGAAGTTTTACTTTTAAAAAATCAATGTACTTTCTTTTCCTGTTCATCATTTGGAGAAAAGAAAATTATCTAAACTTGTTTAAAATTTCGGTGGGTACCACTCTGAAAATGCTCTTGCACTTCTAGCCCCATTGTGATAATTCAGCTGCTCGGGAAAGCTCAAAGCTAAGAAGAACAATCAAGGTTACACGTTTCTTAGTGAGTTTTTTGAAGCTTAAGTCAACAATTAATGAGACAAAGCGTCCTGTGTTGCATGCAAAACATGTCACCTAGTGAAATTTCACCACACCTCTGTAGGACTATCATACCTCCGTGGAACCGACATACCTCTGTGGAACCAGCATGGCTATGTGGGACCATCATACCCCTGCGAGACCACCATGGCTCTGTGGGACCACCATATCCCTGTGGGACCACAATACCCATGTGGGACGACCATACCCCTGTGGGACCACCATGCCTCTGTGGGACCATTATATCTCTGTGGGACCACCATACCTCTGTGGGACCAACATACCTCTGTGGGACCAACATAACCCTGTAGGACCATCATATCTCTGTAGGACCACCATGCCTCTGTGGGACCACCATACCTCTGTGGACCCCCATACCTCTGTGGGACCACCATTCCTCTGTGGAAACACAATGCCTTTATGGGACCACTATGCCTCTGTGGGACCACCATACCTCTGTGGGACAACCATGCCTCTGTGGGACCACCATACCCCTGTGGGACCACCATACCCCTGTAAGACCACCATACCTCTGTGGTACCACCCTACCTCAGGGTGTTGCCATGAGATTAACTTTTACTCATAGCAGTGTTGCTTGTAAACCAAATATATTTTTATCATTGGTTGTTTAATGGCTTCACTGTTATCAAAAGCCCACCAGCCCAAAAAAGGTTAAAACATTAAAAAGCAAACTCATCAGAGGGGAGGCATACGTCTTTAATAGTCAAAATAGATTAGGTTGTGAAAACAGTTATTACATCTTGGTGAATTCAACAACACTTTTTGTTGCTCTGTTTGGTTGAATCTATGCATCACTTTAGCTTCAGCCCCATGTACCACCTAGCCCAAAAAAGAAAGAATCACCCAGATGGGAGATTAACTTTGGGTGGAATTAGGTTTGCGGGCGGTGGATCGTTGGGTCCGGCCTGGGCTACGATGGTCAGTTCTTTGACCGTCCCGTCCCCTTCTTTAGCGACAACCTTATCAGTGCCAGCGTCTCGTTTGCCAGATGGGAGATCCACTTTTGGTGGAATTAGGTTAGCGGGTGGTGGGTCTTTGGGTCCGGCTTGGGCTACGATGGTCAGTTCTTTGACCGCCCCGTCCCCTACATTAGCGACAACCTTTCCAGTGTCAGCGTCTCGTTTGCCCAGTGGAATGGTTTGCCAGCGGAACTGGGCGTTACTTCCCACCACGTCATCAAACCTTCCGGTCACGGTGAACAAGTAGTTCTTCTCGTCCTTCAGATAATTGATCGTGCCCTCGGCATTGGGAAAAATTCTTCTCACATCATACCACATCCACGGCCTTCGACTCTCAAGATTTTGTTCTTCGAGCGCCTCGTAAAATGGAACGGTCGACGAACCGAAGCGGTAGTTCACGACAGGGTTTGCGTGTGTCCCGAAGTAATCCCTGTGGTAGTTGGAGCCATGAAGCCAGCCGGAAAGCCCGACAGAAAATTTCGCCACGACTATAGCGGTGTAGGGTATTGACACCCTCTGCTTTGCTATGATGAGGCTCCATTTGACGGCCGATTTCGGGGCGACACTTTTCACTGCTCCAACCGAAAACGTATTCGATTGCTCGTTATTCGTTTCATCCTTCGTAGTCGTTGAGGCCTCATAATTGAATTTGTACCCAGCACTGAATTGAAAGTTTCCAGAATCAACCCCAAAAAGATTGATTGAAGGAGACGTGTATGTCAGTTGGAGGTTCAGCTCGTGTGAGTTCTTGAAGGTGCTGGAAACGCTATGCGTGACGCTGCGGACAGCCTTGATGACTCTTTTCACTTCTTGTCGGGCGGGGGTCACTTCGTTGTTGTAAAACGTTCCGGAATCGGCGGTCTCGGGTGTGAGGTCATTTATAACTGGATTGCCGTAGACAATTTCCTTGATGGCGAAGGACCAATCCCCGTAGGCGATCTGCATTCGCTCGTTGGTTCGAACACCCGAGCAGAGGGAACTGGCATCGGCCACCCATGTATCGCCACTGCGCCGATAGTCATCCCCTGGCAGTTGTCCCCTGCATCCCAGGGGATACGCGTAGCCGAAAAAGTAGCCGAGTTTGGCGATTTCCGTTAGCGTGATGTCCATGATGCGAGCTTTAGTCTTGGACGTTTCGTTCAGCTCATCCGGATTTGGTGCCATCGAGCAGCATCGCAGTTCTTCTAAGCAGTAAACACTATCGCATTCATTCTTAAAGAGCCCAGTCAGATGAAATCCTGCTTTGCATGCGCATAAACCTCTGGCTTCTAAACAATTCCAGACGTTTTCCGTGTAGCATTGTCCATAGTAGTGAGGGTGAGTGGCCGGCTTAGTGCAGCGTGCGTGCTTAAAATTGTTTATGCCTTGCGAAGTGCTGTCAGCTCGTCTTAGGCCTTGCATGAAATATCCTTCCGGACAAAAGGCCCAACTTTTATATCCAGATAAAAATATGTTTGACCAGTCAGCTATCACGGTCTGTGTTTTGGCCCCTGCATAAACTCCTTCTTGACCACAACATTGGGCGCGTTCAATGCTGGTTAGAGGATCTGACGCTGTACCGTAGGGCCTGTCCCCTCTGGTAAAGCCAGCCAGGTAGTCCCAGTCCTGAGCACACCTTGACCAGCCTTCATTTTTCAGCGTTCCAGTCCAGTCGTCGCTAACACACGAGCCGAGGCAGCTCGAGACAAGTGCAGACATCAAAATAAGAAAACTAACAGCCATTCCCATTCCTGAATTGACCTTGGAAAAATAAACAGAATATTTTTTTAATGAATCATGATTTAGTTTCGAGATAAAAATGTGTTGTTTTGTCTTTAAAATTGAATTGCTTTAAGCATTACAGATTGTTCAATGACCACCAGTTACTTTTATGAAATTCCATTGAAATAAATGCAATCTCTCACGTTTAGCAATATTAAATATTTATGAGTCTGTCAGGAAAACAATACCAAAAACCTGCAGAAAATATTGTTTTAACCTGAATTGTATGAACCATTGAAAGTAAGCTGAATAAAGCATTAATATTAACTGTATGAAGTATTGAAAGTAATGTGTACGAAATTTTAACGTGAATGCTATAAAGAATCAAATTAGGTTTTATGAAACAGTAAGTTAAGTTGTACGGTGCATCAAACCCACGTCTATAAAAAAAAAATACACACTTCCATGTTTGCTTTGAAAATAAAATTAAAAAAATGTAAAGACAACAAAACAAAGATCTGGATGTAGCGTTTCCGTCTTACCTGCCCCTGTTTCATCGTACGACACAATCGAATGTGGAATAATGTACGAATTTGCGGAATGGATCGGCTTTTATAGGAGAATGATTTAATACATCTGCGTTTATTGGCTCCATCGTGGGGGAGGTCTGAATTACGGGCGAGATCTCGTCGTCGGCGAGATTTCATTGTGGACGAGATTATCTTCGGGCTCCCGTTTGAGGCGTAATGTTATTCATTTTATCGCTGATCCAACTTATTATTTTAATATGTCAGCGTGAGAGTATATCAGTGGCCGGAGAAGTGACAAGATTTGAAAGATGCACTACAGGATGGCAGAGTTTTACTCTCAAATGCTTCGAAGCGCAGCATGGTTAGCTCAAAGCTGCCGCGTTTTAAACTTATTTTGCGCAAGATGGGCAATATCGGGTAATAATTCTTGGCAAGAACTCCACGGGTTAAAATTTAATTTGAGAGGCTCATGAATTCACTACCCTATTTTTGCTCTAATGGGTGTCAGCCCATGCAGATAATCCCCTTAATGAAAAAAAAATGGTGTAATAGTGTCACACTCAGGGATTCTGAGCAGGCTTTGGGGGGGGGGGGGGCAGGGGGCTTAAGCCCCGCCCCAGCCCCGCCCCTGATAATTTTTATGTTCCGCCCCAGCCCCGTTCCTAGCTCCAGTCTAAAAGGGGGGATTGGTGTTTGACGGGGTGCTAAGTAATTAAATGGGGGTGGGGGGGGGGGGGGGGGGGGGGGGGGGGGGCAGGGGGCTTAAGCCCCGCCCCAGCTCCGCTCCTGATAATTATTATGTTCCGCTCCAGCTCCGTTCCTAGCTCCAGTCTAAAAGGGAGGATTGGTGTTTGACGGGGTGCTAAGTAATTAAAGATATGTGTTTATCATTGTCACTTACTCATCTTATTGAACCGTTTGGGGAACGCTGGTCTAGACAATAAGTTACAGTCAGCATAAAAATACGTCACTAATTCATGGCGGGAAGAGCGTTCGATAAATTATAAAACTCTCAACACAACACCGCGCGTAATTGAAACATAATATTCAGTCGCAACATTAATCAATGCACTTCCATACCCGACAAGATGTTTCCAGTAATGATTATTCAATTTTGAACTGTCGAAGAATAATATGCTAACCCAGAGTCTTGCACTTTTGCCGCAGAAGACGAAAGTCCTTTTCTTCTTTGGACCCTTTTTTTTTTCTTTCGTGTATAATGGCATCATAAAAAAACCAAGCAACAAAAGCAGTAGAATTGTTGCATTCTCTTTTGTTGTTATTGAATTTTACTTTATTGCCACGGTTTTTCATAACAGACTTCACCAATCTATGCTACAAGACATATTTATGTAGTAGCAAGGAAAATAATTTTATAGTTTGGAAGTTTGGGGGAGGGGGGGGGTCACCCCAGCATGAGGAACTTTATTGAAGGGTTATGGCATTAGGAAGGTTGAGAACCACTGAGTTAACCTATACTGTTAAGTATATACCATACAATGATGAGAAATTTTGTCATTTATTCCAAATTCACCACATAACTCAGGCTGGTCTCCATTTGAAATAACTTTAGTACATTTCATGATTTTAATATATATATATATATATATATATATATATTCACGTAGAGCCTTATATTTTTATAAAAGCCTTCTTGTATTTATAAAATTTATTTGAG